TTGACTTTCGGGCTCTCACCAAACGAAAACCATCCCATTGAAACCCAGGTGGAACTGCCGACCCATCCGGCATGTGATCAGGATCGTGATCAGCAAGTCCCTCGGCAGGTGCGGGAGGATCTTGCATCAAAACCTCCTCCAGCACAGATGCTTCGCCAGGCTGCAAATATGACTCCGGCTCATATTCCAATTCATCCGGAGAACACGGTTTATCGTCGGCAATAGCTTGCTTTGCGGGAAAAACAAACGTCTCATCAAGCAGACTGAACTCATACTGCTTGACGCGGAGGGGATTAATGTCACCCGTCCGCAACTTGTCCGGCAAATTCTTGAGCGGCAATACCAAAATTTCATGGGTGTAGGTAAAGCCAGGTTGCACATGATAGCCAACAAAAATGCCGACATCCGAAGTTGGCAGAAACTTGGACTGCTTCGAATCGACGCGCTGACGATTGATCCAATACGACAATTTTGCACCAAATGGAATCTTCGTGTCAGGAAACTCATCACCAAAACGCAAAGCCCACGGCGACTTATCCTTGTCATCTGGAATTGTAACATTGAGAGCAAATGCATGATGTTGAGCTGCCAAAGGCCAAAGCTCAACCGGCAAACCACTTTGAAACAGATTTGCTCTTGCTCCCTCCAGAATTGTACGAATCTCGCGCTCGATCACCCCGGAAGATTGACTGACATATGGCTGGCTCAGCACGTGTCTCCAACCCATACTCTTTACTGCAGCTGCAATCTCGCCAGAATTGTCAGAATAGAAAATCCCAACATGATCATCTGGCTTCGTGAAATGTTGAAATGCACGAACGCAACTGTCAGCATCTTGCCTTGCTGAAGGGTAAAAATACCGGAACTGCGTGAACACATCTTTCACGACCAAAGCATTCCACTCGCCCTTGAACCCGTACGTCTCATCATTTGAAATGACGTGGTCAGCAGTCACATGATCTCCAAATGCTTTTGCATCCACCGAAGAAGATCCATGTCTGCGACGAGCCTGAGGTGCTTGCATCTTTGATCGCACACACGTTTCGCAAAAGGGGTTCTTGGGCCTGTGAGTGAAAAGATGCTCTTCACTTTTGGCCTCACGCATCATCATTTCTTTTGAACGCTTTGACATCGGTTTTGGAGCTTTTTCAACCTCAGGGTTGTCCTCCAATTCCGGATCAAACTCCGGTTCCAGCGGTTCAGCTTCATCAGGGCGCAATGGAAACGATGCAGCATCCGGCGGAGGTTGCCCTCCGCTTGAAGATGAAGGCGCTTCAACGCCCCCGATCTTCTGATCGGATGCAGCAAGAGCAACAGGCATAGCTGATTCAGAAGCTATGACCTCGCACTGATCGTCAACATAAGGAACTCGCCCATCGAGCTTCAATATTACCGCTTTCCCGTCAGGTCGAACAAAGTACGGAGCACTGTTCTTTCTCCATACGAAATCGTACCCCTTTTCCAACCATCTTTGACCAACAGAAAGTACAGCTGGTGTGCTCGGCAAAACATACGGAGTGACGACCTCGTTCAACTGATCAATGGAGAAGTCCGCAATCTTGTCTGCACAAATTGATCCATTTGCTGTTGAAAGATTGATTGGAGTCAATGCAGGATTTATCTTCTTTTGAAGTGTAACTGCACGCTCAGAGTCGACCAGATCTTGTTCACTACCTGTGTCGACAATCCACTGACGAAGCCCTGCTGGTGCTGGCGTAGCAATATACTCCGGCACATCGTCAAGGTTCGTTTCATCATCATCAATCCAACAGCCAGGACAATACAAACCGCAATAAATTGGGTCATTGTCATCATAGTATTCGCAATAGAACCCACAAGGCGCGTTGTAGTTTGCATGCATCAAGTCAACAACCCCTTCCAGAATCAAAGCTTTGTCTTTAGCATCGCTCAGATCCTTGGGATTTGAGCCAGGCGCACAACCATCATACCACACAACCTCAGGGTCATTCGGCTTTGGAGCACATGATAGGCATAGCCCATTGGCCTCGATCTCGACGATCTCGACATTGTCTGCGAATTTGACGCATCTGCGGGTATTGGAAACATCTGTACTGCAAATGAAAATTGTTTGCCCAGTCCAGTATTGCTCCAAACCTTCATCAGGATCCGCCCAGAAATCACCAAACACTTGCTCTTTGCCATTGATGTTGGCTTTGGTGATGCGCTGATCCAATAAACGTTCCAGCGAAATCGGAAGGTCTTTTGCACTCTTCGGATCATAAAGCGCTTTTCGAGGCATCACATGGTGTCGAATGATCATCTCGTTCACCGAGTCAACTTCCCAGAAATCTTGCTTTGGGCGGCATGCTGCGAGGCATGCATTGGTCTCTTTCACCCTCAGACACACAGCGGCTGAGGACTCGCCCTTTTTGCTCTGGGATCGCTTTCTCCCTTTTCCCTTTGGAGTGGGAGACCTACCTCTGCTGGCTCCTTTCTTCGGGCTCGGCTTATCTGTTGCCGGTGCAGCAGACCGAGTCTCATGCGAAAACGCACAGTTGTCTCCGCGAGTGCAATTCCCCTGACCGCCTTTGAAAAACCTGCACGGGATCTTTTTCAGCTCCGCTCTCTTTCTCGATGCCGACCGATCCCTGTCTCTCCCCTTGCTGTCAGAGCGCCCCCGACCTTTTCCTTTTGGATTTTGGCTCGGGGGTCTTGGGTCTTTCTCATGCTTGTAAATGCAATTATCCCGAGTGCACTTGCCTTTCTGAAAATCATAGCAATACCTGACCGCTGAAGGATCTCTTGCACGCCCAGGATTTGCATTGGGAGCTGGAGCACCGACCTTCTGATTGTGAGCTCGAGCAACACGATCACGATTTGACTGCAATCGCTCCCGAGTCAAAACATCACGAACGGCTTGAACAAGAAACTCGTAGCTCTTGTCATACGACCCATCTTTTGCACGCTCGTATGTATCGAGGTCATACTTGATCTTGTGACATCCACGAATCTGTCGCAAGAAAATGTCCTTCAAGACGTGCTGCTCCGGAACGATCTTCATGCCAGCAATGACGGAATCCCAATTCTGAATAAAGGTCATCAAATCATTGCCATGAAGTACCATCTTCAACAAATCTTCAGTGGAATACAACGCTCCGGCCTCTGAAATACTGCTCAAACATGAGAAGAACTTGACGTCCACGGACAACTTTGTCCAAAGCAGCTTGTTGCTCCTTGTAGGTGAGGATCTGCCGACTAAGGTCGCCCCTAGCAATCCGCGACAAGGCCGCAAGAAGCTTTGTATCCAACGTTTCAAACTGCTCTGGATCTCCAAGCTCTAACATGAGATTCTTCTTGTCCTCCCGGTTGACGTACACCTTGTTAACCCAGGTGAATGCAGCATCAGGCCGATCTGAAGCAGCCCGAATCTCTTCGCGAGTAGCCGTTTTCCAGGCTCTATAGGTCTCAGGAGTGGGAAACTCACTCAGCCTCAACGAATCAGCTTCCTTTGCTTTTGGCCGATCATGCTGATTCCGGACGAAGCCGAGGAGGGCCGCACGGAACTCCGCCTCGGTGGTCTCGGGACCAGTCAACCGATCAATGTTCGGCTGATTTGTCGACTGATTTTGCTGACTTCGGCTGTTCTCTTGCTCCGAAGACCGTCTCGCATGATCTTTGATATCAAACTGCATTGCACCAGAAATAGGATCAGTCCAACTCTGCTGTGGAATAATCTGTGGCATAGTTCCAGAAGTTTGTGCATTCTGCGTTGGAAAAAGACGCGGATCATCAAAGATACTGCCCCTCTTATCCAAAAACGACTCCGAACTGACGTTCTGTACACTTGACGCAGGCTGAGGATCTCCGCGCACCATTTCACGCTGCGCCTTTTCGAGATCGTTTCTCAGACGCTCAACGGTGTCGTTCAGCCCGTTGATCGTGTCCTGCATGGCGTGATTCTCCGCCAAAATACTGTCTCTCTGCTCACCGACCGCCTTCTCCGAGTTCTCCATCACAACAGTCTCAGCATGTAAGCTTTGTGCGAAAGCGCTATACTGTGCCGTTCTTTGCGACACAGCTTCGTTCACTTCGGCAGAAATTGCTCCCCGCATCTGGCCAACCTGGGCGTTGAAGAAAGCGCGAGCCTCTGCGAACTGCTCGTGCAGCTCAAGGGTCCGACGGTTGTTCTCCTCGTCCAGGCGATGCACAGTTTCCGCCAAATGAGCGCTATATTCCGCCCTTGTAGCATCCATAGCAACGCGATGTAACGTGTTGGCCTCTTCCCTAACAGCGTCACCCGTGTCGTTATGCACATGCATGATGTTCTGGGTGGCTTGGTAGTTTGTCGCGAACCCGAATACGTTTCGAGGATCGCGAGGGTCAACAGGACCTGTAGGTGCAACTGCACCATCACCACCGTCACCAACTTCTCCAGATATATTGTATATAATGGGCAAATCTCCGGATGCCATGGCGATCTTTGTACAAGCCTTTACGGCTGATAACCTGTGTTATCAAGCTTAGGCCACCTAAGGTAATACCTAGGCAAGCAGCAAACCGTTGACTACTTTTCACACTGCTGATAGTGCTCTTGAAGTCTGTAGCGGCGGAGCATGTACAAGGTACACTCATGCACAGGGTTGGAACCTGAATCCACACTTTGGGGGTCCAAATCCTACAAAGGACACCCCAAAGTATGACAAAACACTTTCAACCGGGCTAAGGGTATGACGGTAATATCAACGACATGAAGCACGAGAACCCAACATAACGCCAACGACAAGTATTTGGTGTCCGTCCGTCAAATAGAATACCCCTGTATAGATGGCTGGTGTCCTGTTGCTAACCCCACGTTCCAAAGCGGTCCACTCTCAAACATATATGGGGGTCTGCCATGTTTTCTTTTTTTTGGAGCCCCCTAAAAATTCTCGGCTTCCCCGTTGGCTTCCCTTTACATCGAATCCAGAACGGACTCTTTCGGTTGGCTTACCTTCAAAGCCAGAGGCCTTTGGACCTGGACGACCTCGACACAAAACGGCCTCCGGGGAAGCGTGGGCGAAGTTGGCGGCGTATCCGGCCTCGGTCCCATGACTGGACGGGGAAACGGTCGATTCGCTTGGGGCAAGTGAGATACAACTTTCTACCGTGGTTTGGTCTTTGCTTAGAGATTCTGAGTAAATCATCTCCACTGTCGCAAAAAGAACCAAACACAATCGCCGCCTGGGGTTGATTCTGCTTGGCGTTGATCTACAATCGGCCTTTGAAACTGAGCATCAATGACCTAAAGCGAGATATCTGTCATGAAAGCGAGGACCTTCTTTACGGGATGGCGTTTAGGGGGAAACCAAACAGGAAAGCAAACGCTGTTCAGGGCAGTCGAACAGAACAATGGGTGGTGTCTAACGAGCTTCCCATGCAGATTTTATGGGCACTGGAGGTGATGAACCAACTGCCACCACACTTGCGACTTTTATTGCTGCAGATAGCGATTTAAAGCAGCGGCTGAATTTGCGGAGACCCGAAAAAATATATAATCAAAAAACCACCGAGCCCTCTACCCCGCCCTCACTCAGATCCGGCTTCAGATCGGCCCCCGGGCAGCAGCGCTGATCGACGGAGAGAAGAACCTGTGCCGGCCGAGCGGCTGGGGATCCAGAGAGGAGGCTCTGATGCGTCGAAAACAACGAAACTCGACATGGCTCTCCCGGCCAAGCCATGGGCCACGGTGAAGTCCGAGTCGGGCCGTGGCTATGGTTCCCTTGACCAGTGATCCTTGTGGCCTAGACATCCCTAAGGAGCTGAACATCCCGCCAGGATGGGCAACCCCAAGTCAGCCACAGCCTCAAACCACCCAAAAGCAAAGCACAGGCCATTCACATCTTGCGTTTTACTGGTGAATGAAACTGCCACTTTTGAAGGCCCAAAACAAAGGGACATTGAGGGACCCCTTTGAACAACTTGATATGCAGCAAGCCGTTTGGGGCTGGGTGTAGCTTCTTGGACCGTTCATCTGGGGTACACGACAAGCAAGTTCGGATTCCGCTTCATATACAAAGCAGGAGGAGACCGTTTGCATGAGGAGCCCCAAACGCTTGGTAAAATGATTTGGGTTGCATTCAGTGGCGTTTTGCTATGGTTCTAGCTATTTCGGCCCCTAGGAGTATGTGTCCCACTTGGACCCCCAAAAAGGACATGTCCAGCACCCACCTTTGCGGTGGTTTCCCATTAATTCTGACCCCGGATCTAAGGCTTATAGGAGGTGTTCCCTCCAAAATTGGGATTCGGCACTCAAAAAAAGGACCCCCAACTCTCTCCAAAAATCCGCCCAAAGCTCCAAAAAAGGACCCCCATCTCTCCAAGAATCCGCCCAAAGTTCCGCAATGCTTTCGCGAACCCCCCCCAAATCTCAGCTACCTCGGCCATGGGAATTTGCAGCCCAGCGAAAGAGCACTGGGAATGGAGGGTCTCGCACCGTTCCATCCGAAAACCCCGCGCCTGTTCTCCGATTTTCCCCGGATAACAGAAACGAAACAAAAAAGAACGTGTTTTTCCCCCTGGTTTCTGATCCGACTCCCCAAAAAAAATCAGCCGAAAAAAACACCATGTCTTCCTTCCTATGGTTTCAATGTGGCGCCAGAGGCGCTGCTTCCGCCACCACGGTACGAATTAGCAGACTCACGCCCTTCGGCCGAGCGACGAGCTGTTGGGCGTCTTGGGAGTGCGGGGAGTGCGAGGCGTCTTTGGCGTCCTACCGCAAACCGGGAAAAAAAACAAAAAACGGGGCCCTCGTCAGGGTGGGAACCAAAAGGACCACCCACGTGTTGTCAGGAATAAACCCTTTTAATGACCTTCGTAGGCTGGTTTAAAGGGAAGCGTTTGTCCGAAATAAACCCTTTACTGACCTTCTCAGGCTGGTTTAAAGGGAAGCCAGAAGGAAAGCCGAAGCCATTTGCAGAAGGTTACCGTTTCTTTTGGGCAGGTACGCCTTCTTTCTTCATGGCGGGCTCGCGGGTCAACATCCTGAGGTGCATGGAATGCGTTTTTTTCAAGTTGGCCATTTTGCGGGTGTCCAAATCCCGAATTCTTTGACGCATTGATTCAATGTGGGTCGGGGTGGGGATACCTCTGAAATACATTTGTTCGTATGTTTTTTTTTCTGATCAAAGGCAGGGAAGGACACCTCAGACCTCCGTGGTGTCAGGGAAAAATGGATCAGCTAGGCCCTTTTTGGGGTGATGCTCAAAGACGAACAGGGGAAACGGTAAACCTTTGGTTGGTTTGAAGGGAAACCAAAACCGGGAAAGGGAAGGACAAGGGCACGAGGGGAGTCCTAGGTTGACTTGCGTGCCCACGGAGAAGGGGAGAATCTGCGGATGTTTACTCACCATGTTGGAGCTTTGCAGGGAGTTGCATGGGCGGTCTGGACAAGATGAACCAAAAATACCCATCCCCTCTTGGTTCCCTTTGGGCAAGAAATGACAAGACTGGGGGGTTTAGCGCTCAGTCCGCTTTCCGCAAAGAGTGTGGTCATTGACTACTTTGTCACTTCAAAGGGAGTGGCAGTGAGTGGCCTTTGTATCACAGCCAGCCCTCAACTCCGCCGCCCCCATTTTCCACAAGCATGAGTTGAGGCGAAGTTTTGGCAATCCCCCCGACATATTGTCGCATGGCAAGCGCCCCAAAAGGAGGGGGTCGGTCCATGTCCCAAACGGGATGGGCTCTTCTGGGGCTCCATTCTAAGCTGCGAGGTGTTCCACGGGGCTTTGCCATCAGAAGATTGAAACTGCGAGTTCCTGGCAACAAAAGCACCAAACAGCCAGTCCTATATTTACCCAAACTTCACCTCACCAAAACGAAACTCATCCAAGATTGGCAAGCAAAAGCTGATGCGTCTTGCACAACTGGTGTGTTTTTGTGGATGTCCATCCACAATATCCACTTTGCCCTCAAAATCTGATCAGGCCTTGTGGTGAGAGGAGGTGTTTTGGTTTAGATGGTTTATGAACAAGCAATCCTTTGAGATAATGCTTAAACATCAGCGTCTCTCCAATTGGTGGTTTGGAGCCGAACCGGTGGTTTGGTGGTTATCCCATCCGGGGTCTCCCATTTACCCTCTACAAAGGGCTTCCACCAATCCAAACCACCGATCCAAGCCACCAACCTGACAGGTTATCTGACTTAACCCTCAAGTGTTGTTGCTGTGGCTGTTGCTGGTTCCAACCTGACAGGCGACCAAAAGACCAACTACATGGTCATGAAAACTGGTGGTTTTGCCTGGTGGTTCCCTGAAAACCCTTCTGGGCTTCGCTTTTGGGTGGCTTCCTGAACGCCTCTGGGTTAAAGAAGCCACAAACAGGCACCAAATGGGAATGAACACTGGTGGAAACTTGTAGGGTTAGTTTTTTTGGTGGTTACCTGAACACCTCCTGGTATAAGATAATATCCATCAACACCGCGTCCGTCTCTCTCCTGGCACCCACAGAGCTCATGGAATGCAGCGAGGCATTGGAGGCCGCCCGGATCAGCGCGGCCTCGGGGAGGCTAGGCTTTCGAGAGCTGCTGTCGCGCCAGTTTTGGTGGAGGCTTCTTCCCTAGGGAAACCAAGAAGAAAAACAAAAAACGCATGTCTTCTCCCACGAAAAAAGGGGTACTCCAAATATAACATTTTTTTGGGGGCTTCATATATCATCAAGTATTTCGGGTGTTGAAGGAGACCCACCAATTGAGATTGAGCAGCCCCCGTTGCAAGCAAGCTGACTCTTGGCTCTAAAAGGACAGGAGCTTCCAAAACTTCTGCCAGCATACTGTGGATGGACGAAATCCTGCACCACCTAAGAATCCCTAGAATGATGATTCTCATGTAACTACCAACAAACAATGGTTTCAATCATGGTTCCAAAGTGGTGCGAAATGGAGTTCGTCCAGTAGCATACGCATCACTTTTTCTCATCCTGCTAGAACCAGCTACTCACATTGCCAATGGCGCTGCTCAGGTTGATCATCTTATCCTCAACCCAGCTCATGACCAGGGCCAATCATACTGTGGATGGACGAAATCCGTTCGCACGACTTTGGAACCATGGTTGAAAACCATGGGAATGAAACCATTGTTTGTTGGTATTGACATGGGAATCATCATTCCAGGGAATCTTAGGTGGTGCAGGATTTTGTCCATCCAAAGTATGAATAATCAAATCATCAGCAAAGTCTTCACTACCGGTTTGAGAGAACAACCTGCTCATGTGTTTGCTTGCGTAGCTCATTTGTTGTCTTAGCTTGGATCAGCCGTCAGGGATCAAATCCCAAACCAATGCCAGAGCAAGGAAGCATCACCTTATCCTTCATTGGATGAAATTGGTGGTTTGGGCTCCTGGTTCGTATGGGCTTGGATTGGTCTAAGTTGATTTGGGTTAGCTCGGATTAGTCTCGCTCTTGAAGCATCAGCTCGTTCAAATGTTCGCTATTCTTTTGAAAGGGTCCATCAAGGTCCTTTGCACAGCTTCCTACAAATGCCGTGCACCTAGAATTAAATGGCCGTGGCTCAAAAAACCGGCATTCCAAAATGGGTTGCCCCGGCAAGTGGAAACATGGTTGCCAAACCCTGCGGTTTGTCCCTCTGATCGTTGAATTTTGAGCCACAGCCAAATGCCCGGAAAGAGGTGGATGTTGGATAGATGAAGGGGAAAATCCCCTGGTGTCCAATTCCATGTTGACTTTGAACCTCTCGGGTCTTGACCAACTTGGATTCTCCAAAGATGTCTTCTGATTTTAAAGACTTGCCTTAAGCAGAAAATGGTCGACGTGTGTAAGAAGAGTGGTTTTCTGAATGTTTTTTTTCTTCTAATTCTTGACCCTAAAACACTTGGCCACGGTTCACCCACCTTGAATTCAAATCGTTTCTTTCAATCATTTTGGACAAAGATCTAAGTTACCCAACGTTGGCTTAGTCTCCGTCTAAGAAAGCTCAGGGCTCTTAGCAAGTCAATGTGTTTTCGGTCACCAAACGTCCCAAAAAACCCACACACTTTGAACCAGTGGCGACTTTTTGGCAAACTCCCCAATGAAATACAGGAATGAATCCCATCACCAACACAAGCCGTATATTTCTAGGACTGACCAATCAGAAAAACGACGCCTGTGCTTTCTCACTTTGACCCCCTTCGCCAGCTTTTCACCTCACTTGCCTGAGTGGCCCAAAGCAAGGAACCAAACTCGTATTCTCACTACCCCTACAGCTTTTCGCCTCACTTGACTGGATGCCCCAAAACAAGCAGCCAAAACTATTAGCCACCAAAATGGACAATTCCCAGGAAGTGGCAATGAGAGCCCCGGGAATTCTCGGGGCAGTCCCAGAACTCAGCCCCTCCGCTCCCAAAACCCAAAACGGGGGCCCCGGCGCCCTGAGCGCTGCGTGGCGTCACCGCGGAGCCCAAGGACAAGGCGCCGCTGGCCTCACACGGGTCATGGCGGATCCCCGCCGAAAGGTGGGCTTTTTGACCCACAAAAAGGGAGTGCACGGAGAAATGTGTGCAAGGGTACACGAGCATATACACGACTTATGTGTTTTATGATATAGGGTTTATACTGTTAAATAGTGTAGGATAAAGTACTCTCTGGCAACCATATTCAGTCTAGAATAGAAAACAGCTTCGGAAGCTCCAACGACTCCCAGGAAACCAACAGGGCAAACGGGACATCCGATGGGTTTGGTTGGTCTTCCGCTTTTTAAAAATATACTCAAAGGGGCTATCGGGTACTTTGTAAGTGGTTAGCCTTGCCATGACCAACAAAAGCCATGGTGAGTCTCCGTTCAGTGGTTGTTACCAGGCGTACTAACCACTTACTAAGGACAATGCCCCTTTGAGTAGGAATCCGCCCAAAATGGGTTGCCTTGGGAAATGGACTCGCGATCGGCCGTCTGCCATGTTGTGGCCAAGCTGTTCTTGTTCGCTTAGAAGGGCTTTGTTCCGCAGTCATTGTGTAGTAGTCCTTGCAGTTGAAAAACATGTAATTAGATTGAACCATGGCTGTAAAATAGTACCATTTTTTGTGATCCCAAAGGGAAGCCAACAGGAAACATGTGTTTTAACAAACAAACATGGACATGTGTTTCTCTGAGCAAGCGACCCTCTCAAGGGTCGCCCTCCCGTCACCCATTCGGAGTGGGCGCCCAACTGCACCCCGGGACAAGCTGCGGCGAAGAGGAGAGGCCTGGGGCTGCGAATGGAACCCTTCGCCTTTAAATGTCACAAGCAAACAAATAAAAATAGGTGACATTTAAATAGGGACAACAAGGTACGTTTAATAGCAAACATTTATATGTCACATTTGAAAAAGACACAACAATAGAACCTTTTAGGTCTGCAAGAACCAAAATCAAATAGGGAAAACACATGGAAGCAAACGTAAGATTGAAATTGTGGGTTGAAACAGTATAAAAAAAAAAATAAAATAATTAAAGTTGTATATGTACGGGGACAACATCAAATAGGTGCCACCCCAAAGCATGAACACTGCCTATTCCCGTCCGCTAAATCCAACCAACAACTCATCTACAGCAGATAGAAACCTCTTTGGCATTGGGCTTCACTCCTTCAGAACGCATCCTGACCGGAGGCAACCCAAGTTCTGTTCCCGGCTCCCATCGTGACTTTCAGGCACATATGTGACCGTGTGACCGAAATCACATTGGGTGACTGGGACGAGTCAAGTGTAGGGCTGGTTTCAACATGTTTCCTCGAAAAGACAACTAAGGAGAAACGCCCACCTCTTGTCCTCTGAGGGAAACCAAGGCAATCGCGAACCAATATACCCTGTTTTAAAAATCGTAGGGCTCGGAGCAACCTTGTTCACACTTTGGGCTGGTTTCTGTTGCGAGCACACCTGGGCTTAGTTGAAGCATGTTGACGTCAGTCGTCCAAAGGGGTACCTGGCCAGACAAGCGGAAGCTGTTGGACTCGCCGCAGAGCAAAACAAAGTCCAGTGACTCAAGTAATTCCAAGGTCCGCAGCTGTGTTTCACAATTCGGGTGTCTCTTTTTCGGGGGGGCGCCATTTCTTGTGGTTTTGAAGGGAAACCAAAAGGAAACCCACCCTTTTGGGGGCCCCTCAAATTTCAGCAGCTAAAGCAGAAAGAAAGGATTCCCCTACAAACCCTCATAAGTGGGCTCGTGCATTTCCGAACCTGCCAGCTCTTGATAAGAGTGTGTCCTTTTTAGGGACCCCCCCCCAATTTGCGGCGTTCCAAAGGGGCCAAGACACACCCTCGGTTCCTTTCTGCTCCCCTGCTAAAAGTTTAATTTTTAGTGGCTTAGTGGAAACCCCATTAGTTGGCAAAAAGTTAAAGTCCTAACAGCCAAGCAAAATGCACCAAAGCACCCACAAGTCTTGCCCAGATTTCTTCTTCCCCCCGCACTCCCCTGGGCCATGTGCCATCTTGCGGAAAAATCGGTCGTCGATTTTTCGGTCGAGCTGTCCACACCGGCTGCGGGCTGCGGAGAACGGCATGTAGCTCAAAGTATCTCAAAATTCCCCTTCAATCCATCCAAAAGAGGGCTCATGTTTAGTCACACCCCCAAGTGACATGCGTCGGGCGGGTCACATCCAAAACGCGCCCCGAGACCAAGAAAAAACTGAGTCCTTACCAGGGTTATACCCTATTTCGCTTGAACCAAGCGTTGAACCAAGCGTGGGTGGTTCAACGGGTCCCCAGTTTGGGGCCCTGTCCTTTTCAGTGTCACCAAAACATCCGACAAAAAGAAAAGACACCCCCCTTTTTACCCGACCCCCAACGACCGTGAGCAAACAAGGGCCCTCCTACAAATTCAACAAAAAGGCAGTTTTACAAAACCAAAGTGTTCAACGTCCTAACAAGTTCAAAGGCACCTGTAAATCCTGTCTATCCCAAGGGGTTGAGTGTTGAGAGCTCCGGGTGTTAAAACCACCCTGGGCGGCTCATTTTTGGTTTTCGCTCCGCGGGAGGCAGTCACTCCGCGCGGCGCTTGGATGCTGCCGCCGCTGCGGCCTCGCGGGTGCCTGGGGTTGGGAGCGGATTTTGTTCACCAAAGCCGTAATCAGGGATGGTGCCCTTGCAGAACATCTATTCCAAAGGGGCAGGGTACTGAGTGGGTGGTTGGCAAGCTTGGTTATGACCCACTTACCATGGTTCTAAGTCTCCGTTCAGTGGGTTAGAACCAGACTTACTAACCACTTACTAAGTACAATGCCCCTTTAAGTAGTGACCCCGGATTCTTATCCACTGGACTGTAATCGGGGATGGTGCTCTTGCAGAAAACGGTCCCCCAAATATGCGTTTTCCTATTGGTGTCCCTTTAAAACCACCCCGGAAGGGTACTCGGAAAAGAACGCTCCCCATGTCTTGCCTAGACATGCTTGACTTGGTCGGCATGAAACACCCTCAACATAGGATTTGAATGTTTCTCCTTGTTCATTGTAGTCAAAGGGTAAAGATGGTCCAAACGTTGACCAAGCTTAGCGCTGCTTTACACAGCCTCCTTTTGGCTTCCCGCCGAGGATAGGGGCCCAGGCGTAGCTAATTTTGCTCTCACCCTCTGCCCTTGAATTTGGCAAAAATCGTTGGGACGTTGGTACCGAGACCCAAAAGTGAAGGGATCCAAGATGAAGCCCCCGCTTCCCTTGACACAACCCCAAACAACAAGGCGTCACAAAAAGGGGCCGCACACCACCTGGAAAAGGATGAGTTCCATGTTTCGACCTGCCACCCCGGAAAAAACATGCCTTTCTTTTTGTTTTGCTCCCCGTAAACGCCATGTTTGTTCGGGTCAAAGGCATACCCCAAAAAACGGCCATAGTCCTGAGAAGCTAGGGCCAGCATACATCGTAAGTGAATAACCACGTCTTCAACGTGTTGCCCTCCTACCAAGTAGGGGTGAAGACTCCAATGAAACTGTTTTTTGGATGAATGAACGGATCTGACTGACCCCCAGCTCTCTATAGGCCATAACATGGCAGAAAAGTAACACTGTGAATGTCTCTGTCATATTGCAAGTCAACCAAGGATTGCGTGATTTAGGCGGTCCTATTGTTGCCTGGCTTACATTTACTGGTCACATGCTGCGGTTGGAGGCCAACTGGGTCTGACAACGCCCTCCTGAAAAGAAACCAACATGACCACATGGACCTCAGAAACCAGCGAAGGGAAATTAGCCAAAGCCCTTGCGTTTGGTGGGTGCCGGGCTAATTTCCTGTAGAAATGAGTAGAGGCGAGAAACAAACCATTTGAGGCTCCTATTCCTCCAAAGTCAGCTTCAAAAGGCAAAACCAACCCAGCTCTTGTAGAGGACGCATGGGAACCCCCCCCCCCCCAACCACCAACCCACCAATCCAAGCCATGAATCAGAGGGCCCAGAGAGAATCCGGCTGAAGGGCAAAGAACCTATGATTCGCACACCGGAAGAACCAGGAATCCGAATTCCAGTGCAAGGACCTTCTGATCACTTGATGCCAGATTTGGGGTGCCTCGTCTTTTTGGAGTTGACTCCCCCTTGTTTGGTGGGTTTTGTCAAGGACAGCCAGAAGGACATCCGCCGTGTTGGGGGTCCCAAAGAAAACCCACTTGGTCTTTCTGTTCTCTGCCCTTCCGTTAGCACCCTAAGAACTTAGGACCTTCACGGGCAAGCTCGTCTTCCCGAAAAAAAGCCCCAACTGAGTGCTCTGCTCTCCCCGGCTTTCGCGGAGTCCTGGAGAAATACGAAGAAAACCGCCACGAGTTGAATAGAGTTGTACCCAACTCAGCTTCCCCCTAGTTGTTTCCCATTTACTCTCCACTCTGCACAAAGGCCAGGGCTTCAATTCCCCAACCACCAATCCAAACCACAAACTGAGGGTTAGCTGCATGTTCTACAATTTGTTCTACAATAACTTCCTTTTGCTCCAGCCCCGCGGTACGTCCAGTGGGTCTAGTGGACCTATATTCTTAAGAAGTTTCCTCACCAGGGCTGTCCGTGTTCTGATCCCCTACCAAAAAAATAACTTGTGAGTCAAAGGGGAGGAACCCCAACCATTACACCAGCTTAACAACACTGAAAGCCAGTTCAACCAAGTGGCTGGGAACCATGAAAATCCCGAGGCTGGATGGCGTGGAAATGTCGCACGAATCGGCAGCAAGCCATTTGATGGACTCAGCTTCTCTCTACTTGGTGGTTTGGAGCCCGGTGATTAAGAGGTTCGGGCTGCCCAAAACAAAAAGCCAAACCGCCAACAAGCCACCTGATGGACTGCAAATGAACAAATCCAACAATCATGCAAGTGGGACAGGGGCTACATCCAAAGGAAAGTGTCCTTCCAGAGGCCTCCGATCGTCACCTTCCATTGGAGGCAGGGTATGGACCCAGGTATATACTTTCAACTGAATCATCACACCCCATCAAGGAAAACGTGCTTAAAGCTGATCTTGAAAACCACCAAGACTCCGAACAGCCTCAATGTGCAGAACAGGAACCAAGGGGTCTGGGTTAACGGCTTGCCGCCAAACTCGACCAATGGCTATTAATTTTAATGGAGCTCCCGATCCAAAACCGGTGGACATTTTGATGTCCAACGGGCCCCCCGAATATCATCTCTTTGCAGGGATCCTTACATTATACACCTGAACATTGCAACTTGTAAATGGTGGTTTCCAACTTTATTCTGGTGTTGGAAAAGCCACATGTTTCAAATGGTGGCAAAATGGAGTTGCTTTTCAGGAGCCCTGCTTTGTTTTTTTGGCGAAAGGTACCCTTTTGGGGGTTGGAATTTATTCAAACATGGAAACTAAACATAAAAAGAAGACCCTTAGCATTTCCTGTTGCTCACGTGCCAAGGAAAAGGAAAAAAAAACAGGCGCCTTTTTCGTCCCAAATTCCGTTCTACTTGAGGGACTTGTGGGCCAAAGGCAAGAGTCAGGTCTGGGTTAAACCTCCATACCAAACATGATGACATATGCATGTCTCGCAGGTCAGACAGCGGGCGAACCTCAACATGGCTTCGGTCTTTTTTGTTGTTTTGGTTTTTCAACCAACCTGAGGCAGGACCCTCCGAAACACGGTGAATTCCACATCCAGTCCTTCTTCTTCTTCGGCTTCTCAGCCGGAGGCTCCTAGGTGACCAATTCCGATTGACTTCCGATCGCGTGGATGGCCCTACCATGGCGAACCAGCCCCCCCGAATCTACTGCGAGAAACACCAAGTAAGCCAACTGCTCACCTGCACGGTGAATTCGTTGTTTTCTCCTTTCCCTCAAATACTTCGTATCTCTGGCTGGACACTTTTCCGTGGCCTTGCACGTTTAACAGAGCCATATGGAAACCGTTTCTCAGAGCCAGGACTGAACCTCAAGGGGGCCCAGAATTTGTGTCCGACTCACTTCCTTTTTCTCGAGGTCGTTATTTTGAGTCTGTCTGGGGGTTATCAAAGAATCAGAAGCTGGCTGGTGGTGTTTTTCCAACTTTGACCTCTGCCTCTTAGGGAGTGACTTTGAAATAACGGGCCGGTTTTCCACCCATACGGCCGTTTTGGGGAATCCCCCCTAACCCGCCGTTTTGGGGAATACCTTCCTCTACACTCTGGCAATGTTCTACTAAAAGGTGAGTTTGCTCATTGTCTGAAACCTCGTGCAGAGCAAGTCACACGGGAACATTTTATCCACTGCCCATGGGTGACAAATTGGCCAAGGAGTGGGTGATTTCCCAGAACGATGCCACAGACCCAAGGGGTCCTTAGAACCTGAAGAAAACTGGGGATGAACCAGCTCTGGAAAAAATGCCCATCCACTTCGGGCTTCCTTTTGGGAACTTCAAACCACATTTTTGGGGCACCCAGAAACGTGAACATGGAAACCAGCCCAAAATCTTCACCGGGTTTCGGGTGAGCAATCCCCAGAAGCCTGACGGCCCCACCTCTCCCCGCTTACCATGGGCCCCGCGTGCCATCTCACCCCATGCCATGGCACTTTTAGACGAAATGGTGTTGCAGAGAAACCTTCATGAATTATTTCTTGTAATTTGTGCTAGAACTCCAGCAGCCAACATTTGGGCCGCTTGTAAGCGGACTGCAGGCTTTTGTGGGAGGAATTGCTCCAATCCGACTCCCGACACCGTGAGCATACACCCAATGCCTCGCCTCAGCTTTCCGCTTCTTTGACTGGCGAGAGGCAACTCTACCGATGGAGGCAACCAGCATGTTGCAAAACAGGCAATCCTTGTTGGTGGGTGTCGTATGCTGAAGTTTCTTCAATTGCAGAATTTCCTCTTGCGCTTAAGTTTCAACCGTAGAAAATCCCGGAAGTTGGCTGTGAACTAATGAAGGCAAGGAGCTTGGCCCAACCTTGAATCTGGACAAACCAGCGGGGGGCCAGAAAATTGTGGTTTCTCGGTTGCTTTCTGCTCCCCTGCTAAGTTTAACTTTTAGTCGTTTAATGGAAAACCCATGAGTTGGCAAAAAGTTAAAGTCCTAACATCTAAGCAAAA